TCTGTGGGAGAAAGAGGAGGCTTTATGCTCCTGTACAGATTTACAGCCTCAAAAACCCTGTAGATGAGTTGGAACTGACTCCATGGCACACAATCATCACCATCACAACCCTTTGGGAGGCCAAGGTTTAATTCCTGGCCAATATACCTCAAATGCAGTCACACCTGTCTGTCATTGGAAGCTTGTGTGTTGCTATGATGATGAACAGCTTTTAGTGGAGCTTTCAGATTAAGACAGACTAGGAAGAATAGTCCTACAGTCTACTTCTAAAAATGAACTAATGAAAACTTATGTATCACAATGGTCTGGTCCTGTTGTGCTTGGGAGCTTCATGGATCGAGGGTTATTTGACAGCTGATGACAACTACCATACTAATAATTTTCCCTGGACAATTAGGCTTCAAACAAAGTGATTGGTTTTTGGAGTCTATCCAGTGGCATCTTAGAAGGAAGGGCTGGTGATCTACTTCAGAAAAATCATTCACTGACAAGTCTGTGAAACACATGGGATAGCCTGAGTTAGAGTTGATTCAACAACAATTGTTTATTTTGTTTTTATTATTATAACACAGTCCTTTGTTTCCAGGGTTTAGCAGTAGGAACAAACATATAAAGTCATGATCTCACGCCTGTGGTCATTGCACCTCTCTGGTCCTGTGTTGTGGTTATGTGCCGTAGAGTCTGTTCCTACTCATAGTGACCCTGCACAGGGTTTCCAAGACTGTAAATCTTTACGGGAGCCGAAAGCCTCAGCTTTCTCCCGCGGAACAACTGGTAATTTTGAACTGCTGACCTTGAGGTTAGCAGCCCAATTTATAACCATGACGCTACCAGAGCTCCTTCTGGTCAGGTGTTGTTGTGAAGTGCTGTTGAGTCTGTTCCTACTCATAGCGACCCTGTATAGGGTTTCCAAGGAGAGACTGGTGAGCTTGAACCATTGAGCTTGTAGTTCAAATGGCTTTGCAGTCTGGTGCATTAACCCACAGCGCCACACCAGGACTCTGGTCATGTGTAGGTCCTGGTAAACATTGGTGCTTCTTGCTTTTCCCTATTTTTCAAGTCAGGGGTCAACATGACTGTTGGCATCTAAAACCTGTAGACATAGGCCCACAGGATGGGGTGATAGCCCTTTTCTCACCCTCCTGTATGATTGTCAACAGATTGGAGGATTTTTTCTCCCCCATGGGCTGTCAAAAGAACCACCAGATCTGTGTTGGAAGAAGTGCAGCCAGAGTGCTCCTTGGAAGACAAGATGTCCAAACTTTGTCTCTCATACTTCAGACATATTGTCGGGAGGGAACAATGCTGGAGAAGGATATCATGTTTGGTAGGGTGGAGGGTCAGAGAAAAAGAGGAAGACCCCCAGTGAGATGGATTGTCAAAGTGGCAGCATCAATGGACTCAAGTGTGGCGATGATAGTGAGGTTGGCCCAGGATCAGGCAGTGTTTCGTTCTGCTGTGCATAAGGTCACTACGAGTCAGTACCAACTCGATGGCACCTAACAACAACAATGTGGAATCCTCATTCTAAGTAGCCAGGACACTTGCTTTCTTCCAGGAACTCACATGCTCAGCTAATGGACAAGAAAGGGAAAAGTGGTACTTCTTTTCCCAGTGAATTTCCCCAGTTCTGCTTGCCAGCATAAACCTCACTCTGCAGGGGACTGGCGTGAGCACCACATGTAGACAGGATGGTCCTGACAGGATCCACTGAATTTTACGGTAGTCTGTCAGACAGACCACACAGTAAATGGCACCTAAAGAGCCAAAACTTCAAAAAAGTTTGTGGAAAAATGGAATTAAAGAGGATGCAAGTTTTTCACGAACTTGTTGAAGCGCCCTTGAACTGTTGTAACTCGCAGTTTACAGGCAAGAAAACAGACATACAGAGGTTAAGTCAAGTGTCCATGGTCACCCAGTTAAGAAGCTGGGGAGACACAATTTAACTCTGGTTTAAATCAATAAATTCGTATGCCTGGCTACTCATTAAACTCAACCAGGAAGATGAGAAAATTAATATATACATGTGTAAATACCTACATATCTGCATGTGCTTGGACCTCAGCCCCAGGGCTGCTGATATAATTGGTAGCTGAGGAAGAGCCCTGACATGACCTTTTAAACAAAGCTGCTGGAGTGATTCTAGAATGCAGCTGGGGTCGAAACCATTGGCTTAACTCCAAACGCACACTATGCCACATTGCTACAAAAATAGCAAATTGTCCCAATGAAAGTACCAGGAAATGCTTCCTCAAACACATCTGAGAAACAGGAAGTTTCTAGACAGGTTGGAGCTCTTGGTAAATGTTTAATCATTTTTCCTAACTCTTTTTAGTTTACCAGCATTGTAGGATAAGCACTGGAGTACTAACCCCATGGTTGGCAGTTGAAACCCATCAACTGCTCCTTGAAAACCTTATAAAGGGTCACTATGAGTAGGAACTGACTCATTGGCACTTAACAACAACAAAGCATTTCTACACTTCTGTGGCTGATAGAGGTCAGAGGGAAGAATGTTATTACAAATTCCAGTGGAGGAAAGTGAATCTTAAAGATCTCACTAGATCCTTACTTTTAAAAATCTTGTTCATTAGTGGTGAACCTTCTCTGATTGACCACAATTTCTGGAGGAAATTCAGGCTGACAGTCTGCTGCCTCATCTTCCCTGTTAGTGATTTACTCTAAGGAGCTCTGGTAGCGTAGTGGTTATGAATCGGACTGCAAACTGCAAGGTTAGCAGTTCGAAACTACCAGCTGTTCTGCGGGAGAAAGATGAGG